TAGGACAAAGAGTTGAAAACCATTTTGAACCTATTTATTATGCTAGCAAAATGCTCAACCTAGCTCAAGAGAACTACACCACCATGGGAAAAGAGTTGTTAATTGTAGTTTACGCATTTGATAAATTTCGTCCTTATTTAATCTTGTCTAAAACAATTGTCTTTACTCACCATTCTACTTTGAAATTTTTGTTAGCAAACTGGATGCAAAAGCAAGTAAGATAGGATAGGTATTATCACTTCAATAATTTGACATTGAAACAAGAAACAATAAAGGCATGGAGAACGTGGCGTCCGATCATCTCTTAAGATTAGAAAACCCAGAACTTGAGAAGCTACAAGAAGAGAGATTCAAAAGAATTTTCCCGACGAATTCTTCATGGTCATTGGGGGAGAAGAGTCTTGGTTTGCGGATATCGTGAACTACTTTCCAAGAAACTACCTTCCAAAAGGTTTCCCCTATCAACAAAATCAGAAGATATTTTCTAAGCTCAAGAATTATTTTTGGGACCATCCATACCTTTTTTGAAGTTGTGCTGATAGGATTATTAGAAGATGTGTTTTGGGAAAGAAGCAAGGGACATTTTATTCCATTGTCATAATGGATCCACCGGAAGATATTATGAAGCACATTGCACGAGAAAGAAAGGTTTTGATGTGGGATTCTATTGGCCAACGATATTCAAGGATGCAATCACAATTGTTAAGGAGTTCAACTCGTGTCAAAGATCGAGCAAAATCTCTTCACGCGATGAAATGCCTAAAAACATCATTCAAGTTTGCGAGGTGTTTCATATTTAGGGAATTGATTTTATGGGACCTTTTCCGGCTTCACGAGGTAACAAGTATATATTAGTTATGGTGGATTACGTTTCGTAGTGGGTGGAAGCGTAAGCTTTACCCACTAATGACACACATGTTGTCGTTTATTTTCTAAAAAAAAAAGTTATTTTCTCATTTTGGCATTCCTAGAGCTTTAATTGGTAATCGGGGAACCCACTTTGCAAATGAAAATTTTGCAAAGGTGTTACAATAATATGGTGTACACCATAGGTTTGCAACACCTTATCACCCCCAAACAAGTGGGCAAACAGAAATAACGAATCGGGGTTTAGAAATAATTCTAGAAAGGTCGGTAGGAAATAATAAAAAAGCATGGTCTGAAAAGCTTGATGATGCATTGTAGTCGTTTCGAATCGCTTTTAAAACACTTATTGGTACTACGCCTGATAGGCTAGTTTTTGGAAGAGGTTGTCACTTACCGATCGAAATCGAACATAAGGCATTTTGGGCTTTGAAGACTTGTATCTATAAATTATTTGAATTGTGCACTAACCATTTGATGTAGATGAACGCCTTAGAGGAACTAAGAAACGAAGCATATACTAACTCTTTGATCTATAAGGATAAAACTAAGAATGACATGATGCTCGGCTAAGAGGAAATAAGGATTTCAAGCCTAGTCAAAAGGTCTTACTTTTAAACTCTAGGATGAAGTTTTTTCGGGTAAATTAAAGACACACTGGTATGGACCGTTTGTGGTGAAGGAGATTTTCACTCATTGAGCCACCGAGTTACACAAAGGAGATGGGACAACATTCAAGATAAATGGCAATTGAAAGAAGCATTAAGAGGAATGAATGCCAAGGGAAGATATGGAAGTTGAGGTAGTGGACTTGGAGGCACCAGCTACAACATAGAATGAGAAGGAGTCCAGCTCATGACTCCTCAAAAAGAAGTGCTTACAGGAGGCATCCCGTGGTTTGCATTTTCTTTTCATTTTTCCTTTTTCTTTTGGTTTGTTTGTCTTACATTTTGGTTTATTTTTCATGGATTTTTTTCTCCTTTATCGTGGTTTTTCATTGTTACTGTGAGGGAAATTAACGAGCTAGTGTAGGGGTGAAAATTCTTTGTAAAAAAATTCATAATTCATTTTTGGCCTACAGTAGCGATGGAGTGTGGGCTTATACCCCCAACATTGTGGAAAGTGTTTCCGCGATCAATTATACATTTTGGAACCCCACGCCATGACTACTCTAGGCCACGACGTGGGGAATCTTGATTACACAATTTTGTTGCTCGTTATACCGTAATTTGGAGTACCTTTTCTTAGTTCATCAGATTTCATTTAAAGAGACGTTCGGAGGCTTACTTTTCTAGTTTTTATGCGAGATGTCAACCACACAAGATGAGAAAATCAACCTTGACACTTCTACTCTAGGCGAGTCTGTTCCTTTTTCTCCCTCTTTATTTTTATGTTTTGCATAGCATACAATGGTGACATTGCATGAAATTAGTATGGGGTAGGGGTTGATTACATTAGAGTCCAGACATTGGTTTTTAGAAAAGTGCATTATCCTAAAAATTGCTAGATTTAACTTTTTTGTTTACTCATATAAACTTAAAAAATAGTTTCACTTACAAAATCTAGTAAATTTTGAAAAACATTTACTGTTAGGATTTAAAATTGCTAGTATTGTGCGGGTTGGTCCGTTGCGAGCCTAAATGTTTTGTTGAGCCAACATATGTTATAGTATATTTGTGGCTTCCCAATTCCTAGTGAAAAGTCATGAGATATGAAAGATAATCTGGTAATTTGTATGATATACAAATTTTTGCAGTGCGTACCAGAAATATATCTAGGAAAGCTTATGTAGTCATTGCACTTCAAAGAGCTCCATTGTGGTATCAAACTTGTAATCTTTCCTTTTTAGATCATATGTATGCTTAGGAAGCTTAACAAAAAATACCTTGAGGTTATTCCGAGGGTTGGAAAACTGAGTGTTGTATAAACTAAGGTGTAAATGTTCATAAGGATTGTGAGTATTTAGGATTGGTAGGTTTTAGGAAATCTAGACATAAACATGCGCATTGCGATCTTTTCATAATAGTTGGGTTCAAAATGGATTGTCTCTTGTGATGTTGGTGTTGGAGGGTCCGATGCAGTGGTAAAGTACACGTCAATTCTACTTGGGGGCAAACAAAGATCTAGTGTGCGTTATTTTCATGTGTGCATGTTTTGTTCATTTATTTCATACCTCATCTTGACATTTTAAGCTACAATTGTGCTTATTTTAGGACACTGGTACTTAATTTGTTATAAATCTATTTTGTAGCGATAAAGGCATGCTTGGGAAAAAAAGGAAGCAAAATGTGGAGCTGGAAACAAGGAAACCTGGGCCTGGTCAAAGCAAGGCAAATATGGCATAAACTCTGAATTCCGCAGCATGGGTCCGTCTAGCCACACCGTGACACCTAGAAGATCCGCTATCAAGTAGGCAGACTTGGGCCTTATGTGTTTTCCATGGACGCCACGCCATGGGGGCCTTTAGCCACGACGTGGGGGACAACTTTTGGTATCTATATAAAGTTCGGTCCTGCCATCAACCCTAGATTATGTTGGAATATATTTATGAGTTTTGGCACCTAAAGAAGCAGTAGAAGGTAGAGAATAACCTCAATTCGTCTGGAGTTCATGATTTGGAGAGATCGAAGGCAATTTTACTTCTAATTCCTAGTTTTCCTTGATATTCTTCATGTCTTTCATTGGTAACTTCGAATTTATTTGTTTGATTCTAGTTTTATGGGCTAAAATCCTTAACTTCTGTTTAGATTTAGAGGATCTATGCTACTATGTATTGATTATATGGATATTTGAATATTTGCTAGTTGTTTATTTGTTTTGATAGCTTGATAAAGAACCTTTTGTGTTAAAGAAAACCACTTTTGATATTTATAGAAAACCACTTTTGATATTTATTGCTGAATATTCCTGAGATTAGATTATCAATCTATTTTAGGATATTTGTATCTTATAAATTTGTTATCATCAAAGTTATACAACTAGAGTTTTGATCATAAACCTAGGATTAAATAGAAAAAGTGGGTACTTTAATGTGGAATCTAATATATGATGATCATTTATATGTTAAATTGATGTTATATCCATTAATGTCAATTATTAATCAAGTCTAGCATAACTCGAACTTAACCCTAATTATCTTGCTTGTTTGTGCACCTGATCAATGAATAAATAAAGTCGATAATTAGAGGATTAGTCTTTTGATCATAAATTCTAATCACTTTAGGAATCAGTAAACAACAAATAACCATTTCATAGTATTATCCAATAAATCAACCATAGGAGTATTATTGAATCGATCAACAATAGGAACTTTAGTGGATCGAAATCTGAACAGAATTCTCTTCCAATTCTTGCTTTTCATCTGAATTTTGACTGTTTTTTCTGTATGTTTAATTGTTGCTTAGTATTTTGATCTAAGTTTCTAGTCTTGCAAAACTAGAGAACAAAAACCCAAACTTTTATTACTTGTTATTTAGGTAATTTTTTTGTAGATAATTTAGCTTTGAATAACTAATCCCTGAGATTGATACATGACTTACTTGAACTTTGCTATAATTAATTAGGTACACTGCCTAGTTTCGTATAGTTAGGTCTAGTTTAGTTATTGATTAAAACTGGTATATAAAATATTTTTCAGGCTTAATCCGTTAAGTTGATTCTGGATAGAAACCGCGACGAGTTGGCATGCTTGCCACGATGTGGTGGCAGTGCCATGTCTAAACATTGAAAATGTCCAAAACACCATTTCGCAATGCCGCATCTCACCCATTTATACAAAATCAATTTAAATTATAAATTCATACTCTTACTTAAAATTCATTATGAAGTCCAAAGCCCAACTTTGAAATTTATTTTAAATTCCATACTCCAACTAACACCTTTAACACCTTATGCTTAAATTCTACCGGATAACATCAATTACTCAAGATTTATTTTAAAATCAAACAATATGACCAAAAGTAAAAATAACCCCTTAACGTTAAACAAATTACAATACTCCCCTCGAATAACATCAATACATCATATTCAAGTAGAAATCAAAGGACACACCCGTACACGTACACTAACCACATAGGGTTTAATATAAACTATAGAAACTTCAAACACCTCCCCTTACCTACTACTTATTGTCAAATTCAATCCTCAATCGTTTCTTTAGCGCATGGAGTTTTGGAAGAAGGCTCAAATGCGAATGGACCCACACTGAACACATCATAGGGAAGTGGGTGAGCATCTGGGCTCGACAATGGTGGCTTCTTGTTAGGGAGCAACAGCGAACCCTTGACCCCAGCATGAAGATCTGTTGGCGCATTGCATGTAGCCATGGGTGAGGTTAGAAGGCTCACCCTACACGTGTGGGACCCATACGTGGTCAAGGTCTTTGTTGGCTTGATGAAGAAGTACCCCGTTCTTATCGGTTGTACCTTTCACCCTCAGTGGGTACTTCGTGTTGTTGCATGTTAGCAGCACCTCAGCTCCTGCCATGGTCAAACAAAATTTCAAATCCCATTTCCACGCATTACTGACTTGTACGTTATATTTGTACCATGTACATGGAGTGCTTATATGGTTTTTGTTTTTTAGACACGTTTGCTTCATTGTTGAGTTGTACAGTACAACCCAACCATGCATTGAAGAGTTGTACAAAAACGTACTATCGGGTTATGCTTGTACTGAAAAATAAAGACCACAAATCATATATAACATCATGTTCATTTAAGAACGCGTGCGCTTTTTTAGATGCCTAAGTAGTGCACTAAATCAATATTTGATGCAGAGTTTAGTTGTACCGTACAACACATTAATGCAGGGAGATGAAAAAAACAGAAGCATGGTTAATTTGTACAATATAGCCCATCACCTATAATAGCCTATGCTATGCATTGTAGGTCTCAAAGTAAAATTATTTTCTTCATTGTCTACTTGTACCATGTACATGTAGATATATATGTGGATGCGTTTTTAGTTGTGATGTACAACCCAACAATGCAGGTTCTTTATGTAAATGCATATATACGTATAGAGAGAGAGAGAGAGAGAGAGTATACCCGGAAGAGGAGTGGCACCCAAGAGTGTATCAACGCCCTTGTACTTGCAAGCCTTGCAGTAAACAACACCCTGAACAGCCACCAACTTCCTCGCCGGGATCGGAGCTAGGAACGGTGCCGGAGAGGAACTCGGTGGGTGAACAGGTGCCTTGGTGGGTGCCTGAACAGGTGCTTTAGTGGGTGGGTGAACCGGAGCATGAACAGGAGCTTTCGTCGGCGCGTGAGCCATGGGAGGAGAAGCGAGCTTGTGATGGTGACCAACACCAGGTTTGTGGTGGTGGTGATGGTGGTGAGGTGCCGGAGCGGCCACTGGTTGGTATGACGGAGCGTGGTGTGGCGCTTGTGTCCAGCTGACATTGTCGTCGACACCATCACCAAACACATTCATCGTCAAGCATAAGCTCAGCAGCACTGCTGAGAGTAGAACCCTACTCCCCATTGTAGAGAATGTGTTGTTGGTGTTTGTGTGTGAGAGAGAACTAGAGAGAGAGAGAGGAAGAGAGAGGTGAGAGGACGGTGGAAATGGTGAGAATGGAGTGGTGACATTTATACAGGGTTGGAAGGGTAGCTCTTGACATTTTATGACAAATTTACGTGTTAAAAGCAGAGGTGAATGGGCCCTAGTAAATACGAACTCGAAAAAAGATGCATGATTTGTTTCGATGCGTTTCACAAAAGTGCTTTATTGCGCTATAAATAATAGTTTTTTTATATATAAAATAACTTTTACTATGGGTCGACGTGAATTGAAGTCCCTAAAAGAACATTTAAGATTTGTTATTGGTATTATGAGTTATTTGTTATGTTTTTCTATATGACAAATTTCTTGGGCGGTGATTTTGTAAAGAAAAGGATAACACACCAAAGTTTTAAATGCATAAACTTTGATTGCGGGAGCGTATAGTTTTTTATGGACATGCGGTGAGTTATAATGACATGATGGATGCAATAATGAAATAGGAATTATCGAGTAATTTCACAACAAAAATTAGGAGCTTAATGGTGTTGCTAGGTTAATAAGGAAGGTTTATTAGAAAAATGACACTGAGAGACTCCGTTCACTAGTCACTACTTTAAGAAACATGAAAAATATATTTGGACGAGATGCAACTATGCTGGAAAAAGTCCTCCATACGTTTAAGAGAAGCATGTTGGCATACGTTTAACATATTGTCTAATGAGCCTTTTGGATTAATATCTTAAATAGGGTTTGGTAATAGCCAATCATATTAGTCATTTTTAAATTTTTAATTTTAACTAGGAGATGTTGGCAATGATGGTGTCTGTTTGGTTCTTTGGGTTAATAGACCTTAAAGAAAGATTTGGTAATTTCCAAATTCCAAGTACAAATGACTTAGAAATCAATATATGACATTAACATAATATAATATAACATGTTAACTGCGTGACAATTAAATTATAAAATGGATCATTAGAATAATAATTTTAAGTTGAAGATAAGAAATGATGCTTTCAAAAAAATTACTAATATAAGTAATTATCTGAGATAATAGTTTTTAAAATATTAATACTTGTTGAATATTGTTGTGTTAATGTTTGTTAAAACTTATGTATCTCACATGATGAAAGTGTTACGTGTTTTGTTTTATGACATATGCTTTCGGTACCGTATAAAAATAGATTGCTCTGGTATAATATCTAGCGTTTTTAAAAATGAAAATGTTAAGTGTTTTGTTTTATGACATATACTTTTGGTATCATATAAAAATAGATTGCTCTAGTATCATATCTAGTGTTTTTGAAGATTACATATGAGACTTTTGGGATTAGAAATGGAAAGTGTCGTTGAACGAGTTTATGGATTTGTTAACATTGTAAAACTTATAATGCTTTTGACTTTTTGATATTATATTGTTGTAAACCCCAAATAAAGAATAATATCCCAAACATTTCAAAGTAAATTTTCGTTGGGATCAATTTATATAAAGCATTACCTAATGTTTTTTTTAAATGACATTTTCTTGATCTAATAAGGTAATGAAAATTTGGGTGTTATAATGTCGAGGTCACTCAACATCACGACTAAGCCCCAAAGCGTTGTCTGACGCTGAATTTTACGTTGAGAGAAATCCATGTCAAATATGAAGATTGCAAGAATAAAAAGTAATTTATAATTATAATATATATCATTTCATTCCATAAAGGATTGGAAGAAAAAAACACCCCTCTCCTTTAGAACTCGATCATGATCGGAATCTCATTCCACACACTTCATGTTATTCCTGAATGTCAACCAAAGACGAAGATTTTATGCATAAAAGTAATTCTTAAAGTAAATTATTGTAACGCCTTGTTCCAAATTGTTTCTTATTTGGAGGCGGATGATAATTTGGATGATCTGGGTGTTAGGTTTGTGTTTTGGAGCCAAGGGGTATTTTTGGTAACGTGTCAGTTCGGGTTTTATGGAATTGAATCATTATTCGGGAAATTTTATGGCATGTATAAGTTGATAAAAGCGTAAAGCCTCTCGCTACCTTTTCGTGGATAGAAGGATCGTCAGAGTATTTTAGGGTTTAAGAAGAAACCCTAGTATGTGGGGCGTACATAGGGAGTATGTGGGACGTACTGGTGCGAAGTGTAGTACGTGAGGCGTACTTTGGTGTACGCTTAACGTACTATGAAGGATGGATCGGGAGTGCGAGGCCACGTACGTTGGGCGTACGAGGAATAGTGAAAACCTAAATTTAAGTGTGTGTTCCCTATTTAAGCATCTTAACTCTTTAGGGTTGGCCTCTTTACCATCCCCCAAGCCTCCTAAAACCCTAAATTGACCCTAGCCTCCATTAATGTGCATTTGAGCTCTTAAGGAGAATTTGATGTTGTTTTTCTCATTTTTAAAGAGATTGAAGAAGGATGAAGGTTCATAGCTTGGTGGGGAACTTAAAGATCCAAAATCATTCATCACATTGCAAGCCCTTGGAAGTATCAAGTTCAAATCTTGACTTGTTAATGCTTGGATCTCTTGTTGTCTTGATTTTCATGCTTTTGGCTCCATTTTTGGGTTAATTGATGAGTTAAGTTGTTTGAATGACTTATTCTTTTAGATATGAAGTGTTCTGAGGTTCTTATGCATAAAGGTGCAAGCTTTATGAGGTTTAAGGTCACATGCATGTGTTAACTCACCCAATAGTCCTTTTGAGCTTTAAGAGCTTCATTTAGTCATGCATGAATGTAAAGTTCGCAACTTTGTGTGATTATCCAGCCCAAGGAAGCTAGATCTATGTTTTGGAACAATGTATTAAGGGATTAAGGGTTGAATGTGAAAGGTGGCTGTTCAGGAGGAGTACGTTGGGCGTACAAGCCTATACACGCAATATACAAGCATGTACGTGTAGCATACAAGCTCTAAAGCATGTACGCTTAGCATACAACTGAATACGCCCCATGTACTCAGCAGAGTGGGTCTCAGATCTTTGGTCTTCGGTTTGTGCCATGTTTTGGGATTTGATGTTTAGGGTTTTGTTGGGCCATCTAATTTCTAGTGTTTTGGGATGGGTATATTATTAGGCCTTGGGTTAAGGCCCATGGAAGCGATTTGGGCCTAATTTGGAAAATTGGGCCATGTTTAGGCCTTGGGTATCTATTTGAAATTGTGCTTTTGGATTGTTGGATTGGGCCTTGGCATTGGGCCAAGATATGGAGAGGGCAAAAAGGTCTTTTACCCTAGTTCAGACATTTCATATGAATCGGGATCCTAGTATTTATTTGGATTATGTTTTGTGATTATAACATGGGGATTTTAGCGGGCCAGCAACTAGAGATTTATCTGCGGGATTCAGAAGTGTAAGGTGAGTCTCCTTACTAAGTTTAGCGGGTCAAAGGCATCAATGTTGTCCCATTGTTTATATGTAAGGATGCTAGATGTTTGTGTGACTCTTGCATGTGTTATGTGATGGTATCGGGAAAGGCCTGATGCTAAGTGGGGCCTGATAAGTATATTGTATGCTAGTTATCAGTAGGTGTTCTTATGCTTATCGGGTGAGGTCCGATGTTGGGCGGGGCTCGATGACTATATGGTATGTTATAGTCTTTGTGATTATTTCATGTGCTAGTAAGATTATATGTTTATATGATTATATGGTTATATGATTATGTGTGTATCGGTCGGGGTCTGGTGATTGACAGATCTGTAATCTAAGCAGGGCTCGAAGTTAGCCGGGGCCTGAGGCTAAGTAGGGCTCGATGCCTGAGGCGAAGTTAGCCGGGGCCTGAGGCTAAGTAGGGCTCTATGTTACTGGCTATATAAATACATTAAAGAAACATCATGTGCCTCTCACAAGAGGGCATTTTGCTATTTTCTTCCCTTTTTTTGTCTCTAACGACTTTATGCCATTAATAAGTTTAATTATTCCTACGATTTGCATAATTTGTCCCTAAGAAAAAGTTTCCATTATTCACCAAAGAAAAACTATCCATATTCTTGATTTTCATCATATAGTTGCTCCTTTTTTTAGTCTACTGCAACAAAAAAAAATTCAAAACACTTTTGAAGGATCGATATTAAGAGAGATAAAATGATTTGTTAATATATTATATAATTAACATATTAATCATAATTACTCAATAATTAATTAAGAATTAATCAGAAATGATTTTGGGTTAATTAGAATTAACTGAAATGTGAAATTGTCCAATAGTTGAACAAGGAAGGAAATTCTAAAACCCTTATACCTATGTTTGGTTTTGGTGTAGCTTAGTAAAGGTTCTGGAAGCAATCCGATTCCGATAAGGAAATTGCATTTGAATCAGATTAAAATATTATTATTTCAATATTCAAATCTAGGGTTTCAAGGTTATCTACCAGCAATATAAATGGTCTTAACCGTAAGCAAAACCGATCCCTAACCTCCTTAATAAAGAATTTGAAATTCTCCCTCCCCCTATCTCCTAAATATCACTCCTAGGATTTCCTATGGTTTTGGGTGCGATTTATTAGTGGCTACCACACTATTGGAGCTAAGTTTTCCAAATGAGATCTGCAAGAAGGTTCCTAGCATCAATTGTTTGTTACTAAATGTATGATTCTAACCCCAAGTAATTTCGATTATAGTAGGTTATAAGTTGTTTCTTAAAGTATGTAGCTATAATAGTGAAAATGCCATAAAAGTTCTAGGAAGCATTTGCTCATAAGAGTTTATGTGTAAAGTCCTTTATGCAGATCTTTTTATTGTAACATAGAAAACCCATCAGCTACAACCAATAATGTAGAACTTATGAGTATCAAAACATGTTATTAATGTTAAACAATCTTCTAGTAAGTGTTTATTGTCCGACCATCGTAGGAATTTGCATAAAACTCTCCATTTGTTTGTTATTTTGTGAAGGGTTTTGAACGCTACTTCAGGATGCAAATCAACCATGGTGAGTTTTGTCAAAAGCTCCAATAAGAAAATACAATGGTGATAAGGTTACATTGAAAATGTGGAAATTGAAGACTTTTCTATACATGAATTGAATGTTGTGGTGTAAGAATTAAGGTATCTCAAACATGAGCCTATGTATTATCATTTCTTCATGCATAAAGTTCAACTTGTTTTTGGTTTTTAACTA